CAGTGCTCAAGTGTACTGACTCTGGCTACCAGGCCTTAACTAGGTCTCGCCCTATTGTAACCCTCGATGTCTGCGGCGCGCCAGAGCTGCGCTGGAAGTGGAACAGGGTGCTTTGGACCTCGCCGGGTCAAGTGGCTTGCTTGTACGTATCGGCCGTCGCTGCGACGTCTGTTTGGATATCGTGAATGGGGCCAGGCCCGGCTGTCGCCCGAGGGTGCCGAACCTGGTGGTACAACCGTGTTAATATTGTGTGACTGGGGCCTGCAACCAGCCGCTAGTCCAAGCGGGAGACAGGATGAGACAGGCTGTCGCTGAGGCGCTGAATGGCTCAATGATTCCCGGCGTAATTGTGTGGTGCCCAGTTTGTGGCACCAGCCAACGGGGGCCGGCCTGATCTTGTGTTGCATCTACGCCTGCCGTGAGGGAGGGCCTGGAAGGCTTTCACGAGGCCAAGCTGGGGGGTCCGAAGGTTGAATGCATCACACTCGAGGCGCAGTGGTCTGGTCCCGGCAGAAGAGGTGGATGAAGAGATCGGAGATCTTTTGGTCGTCTGATATGAGCCACTTCGAAGTAGAGAGAGAGCTGAGAGCTGAGTCTGACACGACCAACGAACAGGGGAGTGTACCGAGTACTCGGCACATTGCCCACGAAGCAGAATTGGGGTTTTCGATTTCGAAGCTTGACGGAAGCATTGACACGATTGTCGAAGGGAGGGTGGGAAAGGCTGCCTGCCCAAGCAACCCAGGGTTAGCTTGCCTGACCACATTTGAACCTAAACAAGAACATGGCAGCAGGACATAATACGCGGTCTGCTTTCCCGTCATCCTGCCAGCTGCTTGCCTTTCCTTTAGGGGATGTCGAATTGCGGAGCCAGTCGTAAGCACGAATATCCTTGCTGACCGGCATTCCACCCACTATGCGGTTACCAGTCAAGCGGTCGAGAGAATCGGCGATAAGATGCCTGTCTATCATGAAGTATTAGATGCGTTGCCGCCAACCGAAAGAAGGCGGGATGCTCCGTACGGAAGAAGTGTTATCGAAGCGTCGAGACTGATGAGGACTGGCAATTTGTCGATATCCAGCCTTTCAAGGAGTGTCACAGCATTTTCTCTAGCTGCTAGTTGAGAAAGTGCCGTCTCAGCCTTACCAGACGTCGCACCGTCCGCATTTCGCAAGCAAGACCAAGTTGCAGTCGATTGCGCCTTCCCGCAATAATTTGTGTGCGAGGCTGTCGCTGTAATGTGTTGCAACCTATCACAGGACTCGACCTTGGCTGGCTCGGCGAACGACTTTTCGAACACATTTCAATGCACCCTTCTTTTCCAAATAGTCACGGCAATATTTTATGTGGTACTCTTGAAATCAACTGCGGCACGATTGTATTTCCTTGTGCTTCTCTGACGTTAGGTTGCGTCTGAATGATCTTTGACGTCTGGTCCCTAACCTCTGACTAGTTGATACAGATCGGCCACATCGTCCATATAACTATATACTCACGCGCATCTATTTCCAAGCTGGTTACTGATGGACAGGATGGTTGGTCACTCAAAAACCGACTCATGTACTCCGTATGCATCGCTGATCCACAAGTCGTCATGTCTCGTGGGCGACACCGAACCCCCCCAGCAAAAGGTCCTCCGTATTTCGGCCCCGTCACTGCTGACCCTTTTCGGGAAATTGTTTGAGAAGCTGGCCAGCGAAGCCAGAGTCAATCAAAGTGTGGACATCATGAGACACCATGTACTACTACGGCATCGCCATCATGGATTCAGGGAGGGAAAAATTCGAGAGCGGAAGACACGCAGAGCCATGTGCTAAAAATCAACAGACAGGGACCAGGCAAGTCTTTGCCAGAAGCGACGGCCGGCGAAGCTTCGGAAGGTTCCAGTGATTTAGTGCTGTCGCGTCTTGGCTACATTGACAACCAGCCAGGCCTTTTCCGCGGCCACACTCTACTGGGAAACTCCGTTCCCTAGTAACTACCAGTGCTCTCTCCTCTGTGTCTGTTATGGGCGCCTTTAATACGAATTGTAATGACGATGACAACAATACAGAGAGGTGTTGCCTCTACTTATCAACATTTACTAGTGCCGCTATTTGCTCAGCTTTGCGGGTCGATTTTCAGCCGAGGCCCTCCAATTTTTACTCGGATGGATTTTGTGGCTCTCAAGTGAAGTCGATAATCAAGACCAACGGGACCACGCTTGGTTCGTCTGGTGGAGGCTCCAGGTCTGGACACATGAGACTACAATGAAGGATGCAGCTGCAATAATACATTCCCATCATGACATTCGTGCAGCTAGTTTCACTATTCCTTTCTGTCCCGCAAGGAGCTTACATAGGATTGTCACTTGTCTCGCAGCAGCTCAGTATGATATGCTGCAGGATAAGGAGACGATGCTGCCCTAACGCAATCCGCCGGAGGATATCGATCTGGAGAAGGCGAGTTGTCCACGCCGTCTTCTGACAACAACTTGCAGCTCCAGCAGGCACTGGTGGAAGGCGACTTATGACTTCTAGCAGACACTCCATCCTACTGATGAGGGCGTCGAGGCACAAATTGCTGACCGGAGCGGGACCATGATTTGGTAGAGTTTTGCCACAAGCTTGGATATGATTTCTTCCGCCTTTTGACAGATCACAGGCATTTCACAGACTTTCTCCTGTGCAATAAAACAACAGATATGCACGAAGCAACCCTCGGCAATCGGGGGACCAGGATAGCCCTGTCGTTAGCGGTCGGGGGTGGAGCCAGTACAGATAAATTCATCCTCGACGAATGTTGTCCCGGAAGTATCGACGTTCCGTTCTTGGCGAGAGCCAACGAGCTGCCCCCTCATCGATAATTTGTTCCCGCTGGTCTCCTCCCGGCGCCTGCCATGGCTTATAGGTAGCACGACAGAGGAGGAGAAAAGTTGGCCGGCTGAGACACTGTGGTTCTCGCTAGCAGGGGTCATGATTACCTTGAATATTGCGGCAGGCAGCGGGTTTCATGATAGGAACAAATTGGCGTTAGACCCAATTGCATTCTGCATCAAGCTGTGACTCTGGGGTCATGGGGAACTTCGTCGCCCACCTGCCGTCTTGAACATGGGACAAATAGTTTGAGCAAACATTGGTGAGTGATCACACTGGGTAGCAAACAAACTTCCGGCTTCTGTTTGCACTTTTATACATCCGTACGATACAACCCTTCCCACAATGATGATCCCTGACTGTTGATCTCTCAGATTACTAACCACTGCGAGGCTAAGGATGGGTCCGTTCCGAGTCATTGCCTCTCCTCGTTCGGGCGCAGTTCGATTCAAGGTGATCTCTTCTGCAGCCTCTGACGGTTTAGCTGGACCATTCCAATGCTTTTGCCCCGTCATTCGGTGCCGAAAGAACTTGACAATATGTTCTCAAAGGACTCCGAGAATCGTAAACCCTGATTGCTCTTCACTTGAAATTGCAGGCTGAATCCCCTCTTGATCTGTGATCTTCTGCTTTCTCACAGTCGCTTCAATGACAATTAGCGCGTCAAATAACACCCCACTGGCAATCACTGCAACTGGGGCCTCGGTCTGCAATCAAGAACAATCCGTACATTTTGGTTCTCTTGGGGTGGGGGGCGTCTCCGGGGTTGTGGATGGCAGGTTTTCATCTTTTCATCTTCATCGAAATATAGCGTACTTGGCGATGCCTCACTGTTGACAATAAGGCTATGATTATAGGCTCTGGACATATAAAAATATGCTCAATGCATCAGCTCGCAAGATCCTGGAAACGCCGAAGACCGTTGGACCCAACCCTGTCTCGCACATTCTCGTGACGATGAACGCTGTCTGCTTGCAACAGCTCAGGAAGCAAATTATCCCGGATAAACACGATCCTTGACGGCCGGATAATGGGGCAATTGCACGTTGGCGGGATGCTCTTTGGAGTCCCAGCCGAGTCATCTGGTGGCGTGCCACTAATTCGTAAAGTCTGATACTGCTGAAGGAAGGCGAGAACCAATTATCCCAGGCGGCCCGTGAAATTCAAAGGGCATCATACGTCATATCAAAACGGGTAGTCATCTCCCGATCCCAAGGGCTATTTTGCACGAATCGGAAGCAGTGAAATGCTGTGAATGGGCATGAATGGGTGCAAATCCTACGTGTGCTTCAGAGGACAAAGTCCTAACATTCCGCATCGACAATGCTTCATGCAACCAAAATCATCAAGGAGTTTCCTCCTACTTGTACGAAACGGTGATTCCAAGCCGCAACAGCCATAGATGAATGAATTGCAGTGCCCGGGCCCCGGGGATGCTTGTTGTTTCTGCCGTCTCAGCTCTCGGCCCTCAGCCAGTCAGTAGTGCTTAGACGACCACAAAAAAAATTTTTACAAGAACAGGCAGTCACACAAAAGGCTGGGACTCTCCATCTCCTCTCTGTAGACGGTTTTGAGAGCGGATCTGCAAATGTAATGGTAAATTATTTGGCCTGATGGTGGCGGTCCATGGGAGAAGATTGATGATGGCTTCAACGTACCGTGTATATGAAGATATGCTCGAGTCTCGTACATGATGTCGACAAAAGATAATTTGTATAAGTTATTTACGGCGGCACAAGCAGCGAGGAGTTGGCCCTCAATACTCTTCTCGCGCACAAGGTGATCTACCGAAAAGCGATCATACTCAGCGTTATGTGGCATTGGCGTTGGCGGCAAAGCAAAGATGTGTCTCATCCAACCATGTTGTATCCAAGGATCAATCAATCCCATGCTTCACCACTGCCTGGATATCAGACATGTGCTGAAAGGTTTGTGTATCATAGCTATACCCAGCTCGTGATTGTTGCAACCTCCCCAGATTTATCTGGGATTCTGAAAGGAACGCCTTCCATGCCGGGTATCACCCATCATGGCAGGATTATAAGTACAAAATATGTTGGAGATGAACCTAGTAAAGGCCCTCCTAGCAAGTAAACTCCACCAATGCCATCACTAATAGGTTCCTCCCAACCTTTCCAAAGTCACTACTTCTTCTTCTTCTCCTCCTCCTTTTCTTCTTCCTCTTCCTCTCCCTCTTCCTCCTCCTCCTCTTCTTCCTCTTCTTCTTCCTCAGCCAGCTCCTCCACTCCATTCATCTCCTCTTCCTCAGCGTCATCATCACCATCCTCATCACCACCATCAACCCTAACAAACTCCCACGTCGTGCCCCCCTTCTCCGTGGCCCTCAGCTCGCCGCCCTCCCCAGCAACAACGTGCAGCAGCTTCCCCAGACTCGGCGCCAGCAACTCATATCCCCCATCTGCATGCCTCCTCGGCACAAAGTACCCGTACTCGCTGTGCTCGGTACTCTCCGCCGTGAACTTCCACCAAAAGTCATGCCCCAAGTACTTCTCCAGCTGCGTCTCGCGGAAACCCAGCCAGCCGTCCTTTTCCACAGATTGCCAGTAGCAGTTCCCCGCGCGGCTAATGTCCTTTTCCAGCCGGATCTTGCCTTCGAAAATGGTGATGGCGGCGCCGGAGGACCGGTCGAGGATGACATATGTCGCATTGGGCTGGGGGACGGCGTCGCGGGTGGCGGATGGGCCGAGGATCTTGGACAGGTCGTCTTGTTCGGCCATTGTTCCGTTCACCTCAGTCATGTGAGAGTGAGTATGTAGTGTTTTTGATATTGGGACGGTGAGTGAGCAGACAAGGGGATTTGGCCTGAAAGCAAATCAAAGTAGGACGGGATTGTTGAACAAAAAAGACAAGAAGAGAAGAGAAATAGTTCATCGAGTCGAGGAAACAAAAAGTGACCAAGCTTTACCAAGCTATTTGGCAGGCGGTGGTTGCTACACGCGTGGAGTAATGACATGGCATTGTCGCCGATCCACGTCGAGTGACGTCAGTGACGCATCACACGGCCCGGGGCACGGGAGGGTTTCTTGCAGGGCGCGTGTGCGGAGAGGCTTGGGCTTATATGCAAAAACCGGGGAGCGAATCCATCGTTGTAGTCGGCCAGCGCGCGGGAGAGCCTCATGATGGCGTTGCACATGAGATTGGGGGGTGGGCGCGTGTTGGATGCCCCCGTAACGACATTCCAACCTCGACGGCTTCAAACATTGCCACTCCTTGTCCCGCCACCAACGCCATCTACACCTGTATTACTTCACCCATCCGCCAATCACTGCAAACGAACCGAGAAGCCCGTACTCGGACCCGGGGCTACTCCATCGGCCATGGCAGTTATTCCCGACGATCCCAAGGCCCGGTCAGACAAACATCACTAGAAGACGGCGGCTCGTGAGCAGAGAACAGACGGGCACATCATACTCACGACCCCGTAACAGTCATAAACAGGCTACTTTTGCTCTGGACACAATGTACCTATCAATCTCGTCGCGCACGTTACCGGCATGTAAATGCCAAACCCTTGATCCCGATCCAAGCCTCCCTCCACAGCCGTGACGCCGACACCATTCACACAAAACCAATGAGCCGCACCCCGTCGGCCGCTCTAATCCTCCGGTCCTGCCAATACCCTCACGCAATAGCAGCAGATTCACACATAACCTGCAAACAGGCACACCCCTTGCCTAGCTGTATCATGGTGCAAACCGGCTCTGGAGCCCGCGGGACGCAGCAGCAGCACGGCCTGCTGACCAGCGGTGCGGCCGACGTTGCCGCTGTGAGTGTTGCCAATGCCATGATGTTTGAATATTTCATGTTGGGAGTTTGCGACTTGTAGTTTGCAATTGGTGTCTTTTTAATTTGGTAACAATATTGATGGTCTTATTCTGCTCTTGTACTGGCAGCTAACAGTTGAGACTAGAGAATCAAGGGTCCAAAGGAACAGGAAGGGGACATTGATATATGACCCATGCCGTGGGCAGACCGAGGCTGTCGTTGCGTGGCATGGATCAATCATACGACGCACCAAACTGTAAGCGATGCACTATTCAACCAACAAGTATTAATCAACATACGGTATAGGAACTTTTGCGTCTCGTCTCTGCAAGTCGTTGGAACGGGAGCGTTACGCCTCTATTTGGAAGCATGTCACTGCGAGATATATATGATAAAACGACGTAGAATTCAACTTCATTACGTACATTACAAACTTAATCTCAAAATAGAACCAGCCATGGATGCCGCCGTGTTTCACCTAAGGGAGTGCTGTCGACCGGTTTCGTGTAACAAAAACACAATCAATACTTTTCTCTATTTTCCATTCCAACTCAGTAACAGTACTTTTTGTTGCCTCGAGAGACGAAGTAGTCAAATTCAGCACCGGACCTAGATGCTGGTGCACACAGGAGGCTGGACATGGATAGTCTCAGCATCCCTTGGGCACGCAACTGCGGCGCAGACGCAGTCCTGCTGCTCCCGAAGTTGGCAAACCATCTGGTTTTTGCCAGGATTGCAGCAACAGCAGTTAAACCGGCGGGCAGTGGCAGAAGATGGCGCGACGCAGCCCAGAGGCATGGGCTTAGGCTGAGCCGGCTTCGTGACAGTAACGAATCTCTTGGAACGGTCGTTCAAGCCAGGAGGCTTGCCCTTGGTAGACGGAATGGCGTGAGGAGCCTCGGTGGTAGCCACAGGAGTAGGTTGTTTGGCAACAGGACCATTCGGAGGAGGAGGGAGATTCTCGACTGGAAGAGATGGTGGAGGACGAACAGCATCCCTGTTGGAAACCGACTTGTTGTCGTCTGCCCAGACAACGGGGGCACCCTGAGGACACATGACGGCGGCGCAGAAGCAGTTTTCTTTGCTGATGGAACGAGAGCAGCTAATGACGCTCTGGCGGACATCGCAACAGCAGCACGCGTCTGCAGTGTCGGGCACGCCATTCCTCTCCACGGAGGGAGCACGAGTCTGCTGGACGGGAGGAGTATTTGGCTTCTTGACCGCAGTGGTAGGGGGAGCATGGCGGTCTTTGTAGACGGTTGGAGCATTTGCAGGGCACACAACGGCAGCACAAACGCATTCCTTCTTCAGAATAGATCGGTCGCAGCTGATGACGTTGCTGCTAATATCGCAGCAGCAGCACGCATCGGCAGGCGAGTTTCTGGGAGGCTGGGCGGCGACCAAGGAGACGAAGCAGAAGACACCGGTAGCAATCGAAGTAAAGCGCATGATGGGCAGATTTGGAATCGTCAACCGGGGTTTTTGTTTTAAAGAAGTGTAGACGGATGGATGGATGATCTTCTTGTGGATGGTCGAAATCTATGGGAAGAATCGAGGAAAACCACGCGCATTTTATGTTCTTTCCATCTCACTGCTTCCTTGTCTACACTCAAGGTTCGCGCCTTCCTCCTCATGCGGTTGGAAATCTAGAACTCACCCAATTGTTTGCTCATCAACTGTCTCACCCGCACACCACCGTCATCACACACTGCGTACAAGATTTTGCTTCTCCATCAAGCGTGAACCGAGTATTCCCTTATGCAGCAACGGCTCGGCCGGCCTGGTTAGCAAAAGTTCTTCGATTTTGAAATTTTGTCTCCTGCGTCTCGCCATTACCGGGCTGTGTTGCCATTCATCATCGTACCGTCACACCACGTTTGCATTCGTCCTCGGGAGGAGAAGAGTTTTTTTTTTTTTTTTTTTTTTTTTTTTTTTTTTTTTTTTTTTTTTTTTTTTTTTTTTTTTTTTTTTTTTTTTTTTTTTTTGCGCTTTGCAGGATGCACATCCGGTGCGAGGCGTGATATAGACAAGGTGTTGTGGGTAAGGTAGGAGCCTAGGAGGGAGGGCTCTGCATGCACGGGATTGTTCCCGACTGTGCTGGCCGTGAGCTCCCTCTCGGACTCTCGGGTCGTATGTCTTGCATGGCCAGAAGGACCAGGAACAAGTTTGTTAAGCTTATTCATGGGCCGTCTCATGCTCAATGCCTTGTCGCAGGCTCCGATGCATTGCCGTTACTGTCGAACTGCAGATGCCAACATGTGGCCGAGCCCCGTTCAGGATCACAGCCGTCGAAAGCCGTGCCGTGTCGACCGAAAAATTTACGCCCCGATGACCATCAAAGCCAAAAAATTTTTAAACCATTTCAGACAGTCATGTGCTTTCGACATGAGGCTTCTGTGGTCCGCCTCTGCATCGTTGTATCTATGCTTTTCCGAGAGACTTGGGCCCGCGGCATGTTGCCCAAAGGGCTTCTGACAGCTCAACACGAGGCAGCTTCACTGGTTTCTGAGGGAGTAAAGTCCCCTCAATGTTGCATTGTTACTCTTTTAAGCCGTCGTCATGACCTTGCCCATAAATCATCGTTCCTTTGCATCTCGGTCGTGTCGCCTCTTGTTATGGTGGCGCCGAGCAATTACGATACCCCGACGTCACATTATTCACAACCACACATGTATGTTTATGCAGCACTCAACATGTCGATTATACACTAGTAAATTCATTCGATTCTAACAAGCACGCCAAATTTCATCGAGTCCTTCACACGCCGGAAGAAAGCTATCCCATTTTCCAAATCCATCAAGTCATAAAAATGACATCAACAAATTGGCCTTCTTGATGTACACGGCCGTTACAGTATCCGAGTATATTGGTTAACATAAGATATTGAAATGAAAAGATATGCAATGAGGAAATTGATTCCTCTAAGTGTGACATAAAGCAAGACAACTTGATGCATAATTCCTGTTTAAGAACCAGGAACCGGAAGGCGAGGATATAGCGATGAGCCGCCCTCACGAAGGCCAATCGGCTGTCTTGGGGGGCTTCTGGCATCAACATCCATGGCGTCGCTATCCCTTCGGGAAGCTTCGGCCTCATCCTCGCTGACGAAATCCTTCCGCTCAAGACGGCCACGAACATACTCTCGCAATGTCTCAATAACACGCATATCCTCCAACCACCGGTCATACTGCTCCTCGCGCTCTCTGGTGGTTTCACTAACGTCCGACTCAGAAGATGGGGAGCCAACAGAAAGGGCAGAGTCGCCAGCCTTTGGTGTGGTTCGCCCACTGGTTTCATCGGCAGGGCGGATAGGAGGAATCGTTCGAGCTTTCTGAAGCATGCCGCCTGAATATCGGCGACGCTCGCTGGTGTCGAAGCTGGGGCCAAGAGTGGCAGTGGTAGAACCAAAGCCTTGGCTAACAGCAGGGAGGCTGGTGGGCAGACTGGGGTACATGACAGACGAGCTCGTCGTGGTGCTGTGGCGAGACTGGGGAGAGAGTCCAGAGGAAGCGGAAGGGCTTGGCGAATGGCCCGAAGTGTATGACACGGAGCTTGACGGCGGCGTGACAGCGGGTGTACCGGTGGACGATATAGCGGTAAGAGGTGAGGCCATACTGGCAGCTGAGACGGGGTGATAACCCTCGGCAGCCACGTGAAGACCAGTTGGAGATCCGCGCTGGAGGACGGTTGGAGACTGGCTGTGTCGGTATCCGCCAAAACCGCCCTCGCCACCACTGTGAACGTGAACGCCGGCTGTGGCATGGTTGGCATTCTCGTAGATGGTATCCTGCATCTGTCCAAGCAGGTTGTCAAGCTGGACAAGATCCTTCTGTGTTCGGGCATTGGGCATGGGCAAGTAGTATTGTTGAGCAAGTGGGTTTTGGGTCGGTGCTGGGCCACCGTGAACCATGGCAGGTGCAGGCTGGGACATGTACTGCTCGGTGGCAGTCAT